TGTGGAGTCACGGTGGGGGGGCTCGCCAGCCCTCACGGGTCCTCAGCCCCTCAGGTGACAGCGCGGGGAGGAGTGGGGCGGGCAGCCCCTCTGAAGTCACTGTAGGAGGGTCCCAGTCCCTCAGGTGACATAGGGGAAGAATCCCATCCCCTCAGGTGATAGTGGGGGGGCCCAAGCCCCTCTATACTCACTGAGGAGGGGAAGAAATTCTGTCCCCTTGAAGGGGGGGCCTGCCCGCCCCTGCGGTCCCTCAGGTAACAGCGCTGAGGGGGGGGCAGCCCTTCTGAAATCACTGCAGGAGGGTTCCAGTCCCTCAGGTGAGAGTGTGGAGGGGAACCCGTCCCTTCCGGGGTGGTCCCGCTGCCCCCGCGCTCCTTCAGCCCCTCATGGCGGGAGCGGGGCGGGGCCTCTCCCCTCACGGCGGGGCTCTCGCGCTTCCCGCACGTGCGCTCCTCGCGCTGCGCATGCGCGAGGCTCCCGAGCCCCGCCCACCGGGCTCCCCGAGCCCGCCAAAGCAACGCGCGCCCATTGGCTGCCCCTTTCCCGCCCGCCCCGCGTGACGGGCGTCGCCATGGCAACCGGCCAATGGGCAGCGCGCGAGTGACGAGCGGGTGGGCGGGGCTTCGGCGGCGGCGGCGCGCGCGCTTTTTCGGCCGCTTGCTTCGGCCCTGGCGGGCGCCGGAGCCGCCGCCATGAGCGGGGCCGGGGCCGGGGCTGACCGGCCGTCCCCGGCCAAGCTTCGCCGCCTGGACGAGCCTACGGGGACCGGCCCTGCCGCCGCCGCCGCTACCCGCGGGGAGACTGCCCGTTCCCCCACCCCCGCCGGAGGTCGTGGTGAGGGCCGCAGCGCGCGCGCGCGGGGCGAGGGGTCCGGGCATGCGCGGGGCAGCGGCGGGGACGCGCGCACGCCCCCTGGCGGCGACCCGGAGATCGCGGCTTTGGCCGGGGAGGGGCTGGAGACCCCCGGGCAGGGGCTGGAGACCCCCAGGGAGGAGCTGGAGACCCCCCAGGAGGGCACAGGGGGGCCGAAGACCATGGCCAGCCTGGAGATCACCGAGGAGGCCAAGCAGGGCGTGGAGACCACCAGCACCTGCTGCTTGGAGCAAGATAAAGAAGGCCTGGAGACCACCAGAGAGGTCACAGAGGGCCTGGAGACCACCGGAGGGACAGCAGGGAGCCTGGAGGCCACCAAGGGGAGCCTAGAGACCATCAAGAGACGCAAAGAGATCCTGGAGACCACAAGTACTGACTGCTTGGAGCAGGAAAAAGGGGGTTCGGAGACCACCAGAGAGGTCACGGAGGGGATGGAGACCACCAGAGAGGCCATGGGGGATCTGGAAGTTGCTGTCACACACTCCCTGGAGCAGAACGAGGCTGTCCTGGAGACTCCCGTGGAATCCAAGGGAAGCCTGGAGACCACCAGAGAGGCCACGGGTGGTCCGGAGAGCAGCAGGGAGACCACAGGGAGCCTTGGGACCACCAGCGGGCGCAAAGGGAGCCTGGAGACGGCCGTCACTCGCTGCTTGGAGCAAGGGAGAAGGAGCAAGGGGGGTTTGGAGACCACCACCAAGGTTCTGGGGAGCGTGGAGAGTGATGCTTCTCCTGGTGGCGAGCTGAAAAGCACCAGCAGGCGCAAGGCAAAGACCCCTGCGAGGCCCAGGGCGAGTGTAGAGACTGCCAGTGCGCAGTGCTTGGAGTGGGAGAGAAGTGGGCAGGAGGGCCTGGAGACCACCAGGGAGGACACAGAGAGCCTGGAGACCACCACCATCACTGGCCGCGTGAAGCAGGACAGAGAGCAAAAAGGCGGCGTGGAGCCCGAGGAGGGCCTGGAGCCCACCCCCACAGCCTGTGTGGGGCAGAGCCGAGGTGGCCACGGGCTCCCAGATCTCATGGGGGTCCCAGAGCCCGCGGGGGTCCCAGTCCCCAAGGAGCAGGTGGCCGAGGAGAGCGCGGTGATCTCCCTGGACGAGGACGAGGAAGAGGAGGAGGAGCGCGATGAAGGCCCTGCACGGTACCTGGCGGCGCTGGAGGCCGTGCAGCTGGAGCTGGAGGCCGTGGAGGAGGAGGCGGCTCGAGCCTTTCGCCGCCTCCGCGCCCGCTTCTGCCTCCGCCGCCGGCCCCACCTGCAGCGCCGCAACCGCCTCATCCAGCACATCCCCGGCTTCTGGGTCACTGCTGTATCCTCGGGGCGGGTGGGGGGCTGCATTTTTGGGGTAGGGGGGGTGGGAGTGGGTTTATGGGAACCTCCAGATCCGTCTTTCCTTGACGCCTCCCCATCCCCAGTTCCTGAACCACCCGCAGCTCTCGGCCATGATCAGTGACCGCGACGAGGACGCGCTGAGCTACATGACGAGTTTGCAGGTGCCTGGAGGGGGTTTTTGGGGGGCGATTTTTGGGGACTCTGTGACCCCCCCCCGCCCCCTACGCCCCTAAGGTAACACACCTGGGCCTGCAGGTGGAGGAGTTCGGCCAGACCCGCCCCGGGTGCCGCATCCGGTTCTTCTTCAGCGTCAACCCCTATTTCCAGAACGACGTCGTGGCCAAGGAGTTCGTGCGTGGCCCCTCCGGTGGGTGTTGGGGGCAGGGGGGCACCCCCCCCACTTCTTACAGCCCAAGGAAGGGGTTTGGGGGGCTCCAGAGCGACCCCCTCATGTATTGTCCCTCCTCCCAGGTCACCTGGTGTCCCACTCGACCCCGATCCGGTGGTGGCAGGGGCAGGACCCCCGGTCCCGGTCCCACAAGGGTCCCCCAGCCCCCCGCAGCTTCTTTGCTTGGTTTGGGGATCACAGCTTCCCTGCGGGGGATCGCGTGGCTGAGGTGAGCCCAGTGCTCCCAGTAAACACCTCCCAGTGTTCCCAGTACCCCCCCCTGACCTCCCCATCTCCTCCACCCAGATCATCAAGGAGGAGCTTTGGCCCAACCCGCTCCAGTTCTACCTGCTGGGGGAAGGTGCAGAGGGACCCCCTGACAGGTGAGCTGCACCCCAGGGGAGCTGGGGGCACCCTGGGGGTTTGGGGGGGACCAGAGGAGGGAACCCCAAACCTTCAAAACCCCTCCCCATTAATGCCCCCTCCCCAGTGAGAGTGGCGAGGACTGCGTGGTGATCCTGGATGATGACGAGGACGTGCAGGAGATCCCAGATGATGGGGACGGTAAGTGACCAAATCCCCCCCCCCTCTACCCCTGGGGAACCCCGAAACTCCTCACCCGAGGAAATGAGGGGCTGGAACCCCCCCCAGAGTCCTCTTGGAAGGGGAGTAGGGGCTGATTTTGTGCCCCCCAACCCTCCCCTCTCCAGGCAGTGGCGTGGAAGAGATCCCGACTGAGGAGCCCCCCAACCCCCCCGTGGGACAGAAAGACCCCAACAGGGGCAGAATCTAATTGGC